CAGGGGCGACGTGGGAGGAAGCAGGGGTGCCGAACGCGCGTGGAGAGGCTCGAGGTCGAGCTCCTGGTTCCGGCGAACTCCGAACGGAGCGGCAGGGACCTGTTGGCTTGCTCCGGCGTGGTGGCGAGGACGTGGTGGTGGCGTCGAGGTACGGGGCCCCACTGGAAGAAGGAGTGGAGGGGCTCAGGCATGAGCTCCTGCTCGAGGAAGACGACGGGGAGGCAGCAGAGTAGGGTGAGGTCAGCCTGATTCGGAGCTGAATGGCAGCAGGACGGTGGCAGCTGCAGGCATCCATGGCCTTGACGAGGAAGCAGACGATGCAGCGGGGCGACGAGGATGGACGGCGCCGGCGTAGAAGAGGAAGGAGGGCGGCGCTTGGCGTCCCCGGCGATGCGGCGGCCTCCTGTTGATGCAGCGGACTCCTGGTCGCCGTAGAGGAAGCAGAGGGTGGCGCTCGTCGAAGACGGGGAGGCGGCGACACGGGGGCCTGCTGGACGGGCGCGAGGAAGGAGGCGCGCGGGGGAGTTTCTTTCCCTGGAGCAAGATGGGGCGCGAGCGCCATGGCCCGAAAGAGAGGCTGCTGGGGAGAGGAGAGCAGCGCGTGTGGGGAGGAGATGGGATCGGGATCCCTGGTACGATGCGTGTGTATGGCGGCACAGGGAGAACGAGGGAGAGGTATATGGGATCGGGCGATGCTGGTCTCTGGCGGCGCGAGCAGGAAGACGAGAGAGATGGGGATCGGGCCAGGGGGAGGGTTAGGTTAGGAATAGGTGGGCTTTGGCCTTGGGCCGGCCCAGTAGAGAGGGAGGGGCTGCCCTAGACAGGCCGGCGGCTGCACCTTAGGCGGGCTTCTGCTAGGAGGCCCAAGTGGCCAGATGCCTGGCTGGGCTCCTCTCTCCTTCTTAATTCTTCTCTTAACAAAAACAGAGAAAAATAAGAGAAAGGAAAAGAGAGAAGAGAAGGTTAGAGGAAGAATTTGGGCACGGGAATAAATTTCCCGGACTCGCAAAAATGCGCATGTTCCAAGAAAAAATGGAGTGGGCATTTTTTTAAAGTTTTAAATTCAAACTCATTTGATTTAAAATCAAATGGTGTGAATAGGAAGTGAGGGTTAGGAAGGTCCAAAAATGTTCGGTTTTTTGTTGGAGCTCCGGAAAATGATGAAAGAATTTATGGGCAAAGTTTGGAGACCAAGAATTGAGATAATAAAGGCATGGGATATTTGCAAGTGTGTTATGGTTAATTCCAAATAAATGGAATAATTACTATAGCTCTCTAAATATTGAGAGGATATGTTGTAAAGAGAATCACCATGTGAATTCCCTCGGTTTAAATGGATCGAAGATCCATACGGTTTATTTAGTTGAGTTAAGAAAAGAAATGACATGATGGCATGATGACATGATGAAATGCACATGATGCAAAGATGAATGCAACAGACGAAACAAATCACACAACGAAATCTCGGAAACCCTGGAAGACATCTGAAGCTCCGGTCTTGGGGCGTTACACAACCCAAGTGGGAAGAACAAAGGAGGGTGCTTTTAGATACGTGACTGAGAGCTCAAATGGAAAGGTCACTGGTTGGAAGGGCTAGGGGCTGTCGACGAAGGCCAGGGAAGTTTTGGTCAAATCGGTGCTCCAAGCCACTCCAACATTCACCATTAGTTGTTTCCACCTCACAAAGAAAACATACCGGAACCTGACTTCTATCTCCTTGAAATTCTAGTGCGGTGCGATGAATGGTGAAAGAAAGGTGCATTGGATCGGGTGGGAGAAGATGTGTGCTTCCAAGCGGACCGGGGGAATGGGCTTTCAAGAACCAGAGGCTTTTAACCAAGCTTTCTTGGCAAAACAAGCATGGCGTATCCTCAAAGTGCCCAACTCTCTGGTGGCAAGAGTCTTGAACGCCCGCTATTTCAAGGAGTGCTCTATTTCGTCTGCAACATGCCTTTCCAATGCTTCCTACACATTCATAAGTTGTTGCACGACAGAGGTTTGCTAAGGGAGGGGCTGATTTGGCGTGTTGGGCATGGCTCTTCTGTCAACATCCATCACGATAACTGGATCCCGAGGCAAGGGTACTTAAGGCCACTGGGTTAATCCTTCCTGCAGGGCGTTACCAAGGTGGCTGACCTGCTAACGGGGCAGGTTCTAGGCTGGGATGCGGATAAGATTGCTGTTATGTCCACTCCTTCTGACGCAAGAGATATACTGCAAATTGTTGGTGGTGGTTTGGGTGCTGAAGATTATCTGTCATGGAATTACACTAGGAATGGTGTCTTCAATGTCAAATCAACATATCACCTAGCGATGTCGATGAAACGTGCGAGGTTTGGACAGCCAGACTCGTCAAGCTCGGTCCAAAAGCATAAGGGATATCTAAGTCTTTGGGGGCACAAATGCGCTGGGGAAAGCAAAAATTCACATGTGGAGACTGGTTCGCAATGGGTTGGCTATGGGTTGTGAGCTTCACCGCCGTCGGATCAAACCGGGAGTTTTTTGTGTTGCGTGTGGAAGGGAAGAGACTATTCTTCATGGGTTTTGGGCATCTAACATTCATCACAGTTCTGGTAATAGTTGCATTCAGAGAAGGGCGTCATGGTGGCAATCCCACCGTTTCCTATGGACTCCCAGAATAACTCGCTAGCAGGCTACTTGGGCGGTTCGCCAGTGCGACTGATGGTGAAAAAGAGGTGATGGTGCAGGCTAACTATGGCCTTTGGCTGGCGCGAAATGATGTGAGGGATGGTAGGAAGATCCCCCCCCCCCCACACACACACACATGAAATCATGGAATCAATCTACTCACATCAGATTGAATGGAGGCAAGCACATGAAGCACCAGGAAAGGTTCCTAAGCCAAGGTTGTACAGAAATGAGAGCCTCCGACTCAAGGGTGGGTGAAGGTGACCTCAGATGGTGTTGTGGCGAGGAATGGCGAGAAGGGAGGTGGAGGCGCAGTACTTAGGGATTGCGGTGTTGCTTTTTTGGCGGGAGCAAGTCAGTATCTTAAAAACATGGTTGACCTGGAGGGTGTGAAGATTCTTGCCTATAGAAGGGGCTTGCAGCTTGCGATTGAGCTTGGCTTTCAGAGAATCCATCTTGAGCTCAACAACTCATGAGTTGTGCAAATGTTGAATGATCCTCAAAGGAATTTGGCCGCTGTGGGGCCATGAATCCAAAAGATCAAGAACATGTTGGGTACGCGCACCGAGTATCGCATGGCCTGGGTTTGTTGTTCTGCTAACGTTACTGCGCACAAATTTGCTAAAGTAGGAGCAGGAGATGAGTTAAGTAGGGTGTGGTTGGGTCTCCCCCAGACTTTGTTCTTCGTGTAATTTCTGATGACATTCCCAGTTATCTCTACTACTTAAAAAGAATGTTAGGTTCCGTTTCACCTTTCTTCCCACCGCCCCTTCGTCCAACACTCCCCGTATATCAATCACCATAATTTACTTACTTTCCGCACCAATTTGATTTTAATTTACTTACCAAACTTCCGATCAAAATATAAGGTAAATCACAGACATAATTTGATGAACATTTATTTACACAATCGCATACTATGGTCAAGTAAATCACTTCTTACCAAAATATAAGGTAAATCACGGGCAGAATTTAATGAATATTTATTTACACAATTGCATATGATGAGCGGGTAAATCTCTATATACTACTTATATACTACTTAAAAAGAATGTCAGGTTCCCGTTTCACCTTTCTTCCCACCGCCCCTTCGTCCAACACTCCCCGTGTATCAATCACCATAATTTACTTACCTTCTGGATCAATTCTATTTTAATTTACTTACCAAACTTCTGATCAAAATATAAGGTAAATCACGAACATAATTTGATGGACATTTATTTACACAATCG